CCCCCCACTCCCTACACTCCCTCCCCACACTCCCTGCACCCCCACACTTTCTGCTCTCCCCCCCATACATAGTCCCCATTCTCCCTCTCCCACACTCCCTGCATCCCTGTCTTGTGGACTAACCTGCAGGGAGGTCCCCAGGATGAGCAGCAGGTCTGCAATGGGAAAATCTGCCAGGTGCAGCAGGAACCTCTGGGGCAGGGCCTCCCCAAAGAACACGATGTCAGGCTTCACGACGCCAGTGCAAACTGTGCAGCGGGGGACCCTGTCCCCCATCACAGAGGCCTGGGAAACACACAGAAAATGGACCCAAGAGCCCTGGCTGGTTTTGCTCAATGGTTAGAGTGTCGGCCTGCAGACCAAAGGGTCCCGGGTTCGATTCCAGCCAAGGTCACGTACCTCAGTTGCAGACTTGGGGGCACAAGTGGGAGGCAACCACTGGATGTGTCTCTCTCACATTGATGTTTCTCCCCCCCCCCACTGTCTCTGAAAAAGCAATGGAAAAAAATTCTCAGGTGAGGATTAAAAAATAAAAAATAAAAAAAAAGAAGCTGGGCCAGAGGAAAGTATCGCAAACATGAAAGGAAAAGGCACAGCAGGAAGTTCTCAGTCACACAGCTGAGCAGTGTAAGTGCCCCACGTACATAAGGAACACAGCTTTACCAGGGCGTTTTACCAATTTTGTTTCAGAGACCCCAAAATTTGGGGGAGGGCTATACACTGTGATTCCAACTCTGTAACACTCTGGAAAAGGGAGGGGAAGGGAAGGATGGGGGCGGGGCTCACTGATGCATGGACCTGGGTCCTCTTTTGGGTGCCATACATTTTCCATTGGAAAGCGGTAGTGCCTGCACACCACGGCATATGTACTGAATGCCAGTGACTTGTGCTCTTTAAAATGGGTAAGCTTATGTTGTGTGAATTTCACCTCAATAAGAAATAAAAGACAGGGTCCTATGCCACATCGACATTTCAGTTTCGTCTTTAAGACGTTCAGCTCCATCCTGTTCTCCCTGAGGGAGCCCATCTCACAGAAACACCACAGCAGCATGCGGGGAATAAACATGGGCCTCACTGCTCTGTGGTAAAAACTGCAAACACCCAAGGTGCTGAGGTGAGGGGCCCCATGTAACACCCTAGTCACTAACCAGTGAGCAGATCTGTACTTACTGACAAGTAGTCAGTGATACCATGCTCAGTAAAGAAGCAAGTTGTAGAATTTTAAGCACATTGGTCCCACTACTGAAAACACACCAAGACTGTTTGGGAGGAGGTACACGTATGTGTATGTGATACGCACAAATTTTTTCTTAAAGGCATCATGATACCAAACTGTTACAAGTGGTTATGGGAGATTCGCCTTCCCTACATATTTCTGTACTGCCTTAATTTTTTACAAGCATGTATTACATTTCTAATTTTAAAATAATAAGAAAACATTTTCAACTATTACAGTTCTGTCTCTATGACACAATGCTCATGAAACACCACCTTTCCAGGTCTCCCCTGGGCAAGTGCAGACAGAGAACCATCTGTGTGACAACTCACCCAGAAGTCCTCTGCTGGGGATGTTCTTTGGCAGACAGTGCAGGAGGCAGAGGCAAAGGACCCGTGAGCTTCAACCAGCTTAGAGCCAGGGATGCCCGATGCTGAAAGTGAAACCACAGTTAAGTGCTGCTGCCTCTGGGTAGAGGGTGGGGGGTGCACAGGCCCCAGAGCACAACTTCTGACTTGGGAGGCCCCGGGAGGAGCCCCTCTTCTGTCACCAACAGGGACGCCCTGACCATAAGGGGAGGGCTCCCAAACGGAGCCAGTCACAGTGAAAACAGCACAAACACATTGGATGTACGTTCAGATCAAACTCTACCCAACACCCAGGAAAACACTTTCTACTCTACAGACACCAAGTAAAGGTGGGAAAATAATAGAAATACAACAAATTTCCAAAAATTGTGGAGAAACAGACACACGGTAACTTGTTACGGCAGTTCACTCCTGAAAGCTGTGGGTGAACAGACAGTCCCAGGAGCAGGTGGCCGCACACTGTCCCGGTGTCTGTCCTGACTCCACACCCACTAAAGCCCATGGCCAGGTACCCCTGCCTCCACAAAGGCCTGCCCTGCACATCTCCAAGAGCAGACTATCTCCATGGGGCATCCACTGCTAGATGACCCTGTTAGCAAGGACACATTTTCCTGGAGTCAAGATGACTCCTTTTTTCAAACCATGAGACATATGCAGGGGTGAGGGGTGAAGGGGGTCCTAATATACGGTGATGGGAGATTTGACTTTGGGTGGTGGGCATACAGTGCAATATACAGATCTTGTAACATAGAAACTGACACCTAAAACCTGTATGATCCTATTAACCAATGTCACCCCAATAAATTTTTAAGAAAAAACGACATGCAGCCTGGCTGAGTGGTGGCTGGCTCTCTGAGTCGCAGGCAGCACCTGTCAGCATCGCTGAATAAGGGAAAGGGCCCAGCATGTGCTCCTCTAAGATGCACAGCCAGTGCTGAGCAATGTCTGGGAATCCACTCATGGCCACTATGTAGACACAGCCAAGAAACTGTCCATCATAAACTGAGTCTAATAATAGTGAGGAATTATTAGTGATCTGTGTGATAATACTATAGTTATGTTTTAAAAGTCTTTATCTTCTAGATACCCATGATGGGTTTGTGCATTAAATTTATAATGTGGAAATCTGTTTCAAAATCATCCAGAGGTGAGAGAAGGTGGGGGGGACAGGTATGAGGACAGGACACAAGGGGGCTCATTACATTCTCTTCACAGGCTCGAAATCCCATCATAATTTTTTAAAAAAGAAGTTATCACATCAGATGACAAAACTAGAAGCTCCTGATGGCATCTTCGGTTCCATCCAAAACTCAGACCATCAGGTGTGCTGGAAATGGGTCACCTGTGAGGTCCGAACAGTGACCCTCACAGCAGGCGCTTGAGTCAGGAGCCAGGACGGTGGCACGCGGACTTAGCTGCCCCTTCCCTGCAAGCAGACACCTGAGCGGTGGTCCAAGAGGGAAGGATGCTGCAAGACAGGATGCTCAGAGGACAGGGCTCACCTCGCTCCAGCCCGTCGATGTTCTGTGTGTAGAGCCGCAGGAGCAGCCCCTTGTCGTGGAGCAGCCGCAGGAAGTAGTGGATGATGTTAGGCCTGTAGTTCCCAGGGTGCATCTTCTTGGCCCACGTGAAGAAGGGGCTGGGGTTGTGAAGGAAAAATGTGAGTTCAAAAATGGCCTCAGGGTATGGGACATCGCAGTGCTGGAAGCTACTGTAGAAGCCAGTTCCTGGAGACCTGCAAAGAGAAGCCAGAGCCATCAGAAGAGCAGGGAGTGGAACAGCCAGGATGGGAGGGGAGCATGGGCTCAGCAGGGGCACCTGAAGTCCGGGATGCCGCTAGGTGTGCTGATGCCAGCCCCCACCATGACCACCACCCTCTGGCAGGCCCTGGCTCGAATCAGCTCAGCAATGTCCTGCAGGGATAGCTTCTCCTTCTTACTGTCGCCTCCATTTCCAAAGACACTCGAGACACCAGCAGAAAAGGGTATGGGCGTCCATCCACCTGCAATACTGACAGAAAAAGGAGAATGGCCAGGGAACAGCGAAGCAAGTCCAGGTGTGCAGTGGAGAGTGAGACGTCTGCCCTTCCCCCACTGCTGAGTGACCACTTTTCCCTTCACAAATGAGCACTGGGCTCAAACAGAAAGCAGTCTGAACTCAGAAATCAAGACTATTCATGGAACGGGAACTGTGCAAATGAGGAAGGCAGCATTTTCTCAGCCCCTGTTACCACAGGCCAGTGCTGACAGGGCCTGCTCCACCCCAGGGGCTCAGGCCAGAGCCAAGAGCACCCCTTGTGGGCTGCGGGCTCACTCTGCAAAGCCATCCACACCAACACACCAGGGATGTGACAAATATGCAGGGACATTTACAGAAAGTTAAACTTCTCAGACTTTACACCAAATATCATCAGATAAAAAATGGGTGGTAGAAACCATTCCAGAAAGAAACACCCACGCCCAGACAGCTAGGGGTTCAAACTGCTGCAGACTTCAACATCCACAGCCAATCTGGAGGCTGCTCATATTACAGCCAAACACATCCAAGGCCAGACTCCAGAAGGCTTCTCGTCCCCTCCAGAAGCCAGGAGCCAAGACCCTCAGAATGAGGGTCCCTGTTTAGGAGTGTGAGATGGTCTTCCCCAAGAAAAAGGAGCAAGACACACAATAAACAAGCTGCAGGCTTCAGCAAGGCCTCAGGAAAGCAACAGGAAGAAACAAGCAACACACTTGGGCCTGGAAAGGCCTTTGGAGTTGATGACCTGCTCTTAGGGCCCTTGTTTGGCACCTCGGCATCTCACCAAGCTGCATAACTCCTTCACCTTCTGCTATCAGCTGGTGACTCACCCAGAGTTCAGGATAGCCAGCCCACTGCTGGGGGGGGCCTTCCTCACACCTCAGGGGCTGGACATCTATGACTTCAGTATAGAGACCCCTCCACCTTGATGGGAAAATAGAGGCAACAAGCTGAACGGACAACCCTCCCCAGTTGATGATGACTCACAGTAAACAGACATAAAAACAGGAAACTGAGTAGTTCTTCAACTCACTTGTGACCCATGGAATAAAGAAGCCCCTAAATGCACATCATTAGACACACATCAGGACAATTTAAAGCTTATCTTCTAGGAGTATGACCCTAACTCCCTCTCCAGTTTGCTGTCTTTTGTGGTTTTCTTTGGCCCCTTACAAAACCAACACTAAAATCTCTGCAAGACTGACCTGCTTTACACATGGTCGCTGAGGGATTCAGCAGCTCTCTGCTCCCACTGGACCCCAACGTCTTAGCACAACATGTCCCACTACAGGGACAACCCTCTCACACATTATTCCTTTCAGCCAAACAAGGGCTCCCGGTTCTCAAGTGCCTACACCCAGCTCCACCTCCACACGTCCATATCACCAGAGTTGAGGCCAGCTCCTTATGAAGCCACTGCTGAACTTCCAGTGAGAAGTCACTCTCCTCCTCTAAACATAACAGTACTGGCTCCCTACTCCCTTTAGGGTCACCTTTTCCCCTTGTGCAATAACCCTGTAGGGCTGCCTCTCACTCCACTCTGGGGTCAGTGACCTGCAGTTCAGGGACTTGCCTGCCACTCAGTCCACACACACTGTTCTGTGTTGTCACCTCTCTTGCCAATGAAGCACCACCTGGTTTACCCAAAGACCAGACTTCTGAAAGGTGTAAAATGAGAAAGAGGAACATGACTAGGGACGGCAAACATGCAAGGCCAAGGGCACCAAAAGGAGTCAGGGCCCAAGCTTGCTACCTGACTCATCAAGTCACTCAAATACCCTGAGCTTCAGCTGCCAAAGCAAAGTAAGGCAGAGACAATTCTTAGTCTTCTTTAAAAAGATCCATAGCTGTCTTTGGAACCTCCCAGCTGGGCAAACGCCGCTTCCTCCTCTGTGCTCCTGCAGAGATACCTGTTTCAAAGACAGTACTTCCACAACCAAGATGTGCATCTCTGCCTGCAAGTCGATCGATGGCACCTCCCAAAGGCTTTTCTAATGAGAGCTGATCAGACAGGAAGGAAAACAATGCTCTGGTTGCAACCACGGCACTGAAAACCTAACATTTACTGAGCTCCTCCTGAATGCAAATTATTATGAGAACCACAGAAAGAATGAGAGGTAAGTGGTGACACTGTGATTTGTAATAAATACATGTTGGTCTTCACCCATGATAGGCTCACAGCCCCCAAACGCATGGGATTTCCTAAGTGAAAAGAAAACTGGGAGCATCTTTTGTTGCAATATTTGGTCACTTATCCTCATTTCCTAAAATCAACCCAGAGCCAAAAAGGTGAAATGAGTTGAGGTTAATGTGGGACTTTTGGAAACCCCCTACGGATGGGAGTTGGTTGGCAGGGGAACCAACCCTAATTAGAGGGTTGGAGCCTCCCTAAAAAAAAACAAAAAAAAACAAAAGGAGGGGACTCAGCTTCCAGATTGGGGAACCAGAAAGCAGCCACGTGCCAGGCCCCACACAGGGACTGAAGCTCCTGTCTTGGGGCCCTTCCAGACCTGGCCCTGTGTATCTCATCACTTGTTTAGTCCTGCCCTTTAATACAATAAATCAGTGATCTAGTAACTCAACTGGTTTGCCAAGTTCTGTGAGCCACTCCAGCAAATTAATCAAAACCGAGGAGGGACATCATGGGAACCTCCCATTTATAGCCACTCGGTCAGAAGCACAAGCTGGGGCAGTCTTGTGGGACTGAGCCCTTAATGGTGGGGTCTGGTGCAATCTCCAGGTTGAGTGTCAGAACCGAGTCAAATTTTTGGGATACCAGGTCAGTGCATGGGAAACTGGAGTATTGCTTGATGGTGTTGAAGACAAACATCCCCAGAAGGTGCTCCCACGGCTGAGTGCCGCGGGGCGCAAGGCACCACTCAGGGGCCCCACGTACACTGTTCACCCGGAAACAGGTGGCCAGCGCCCTACCAAGCGTCTAGAATGTGCGTTAGGTGTGACTTAGTCTACCTGGCACAGGGAACAAGGTCTACTGGGCGTGGGGGCCCTGAGGAGTAGGGTGCTGCCTGGAAAAGGGAAACGAAGGGCAAGTTCACACGAGAGCCCCCACATCGAAACTCAAAGGGCTGAAACCCGCCTGTGCCGCCTGCTCTGGGGCCAGAGGTGGCGAGGACCCGTTGAATGACGGTCCGCAGTCTCCGGGCTGCACCTGGTGACTCAGGTCAGTATTCGGCCACGGCCACGCTGACCACTGCCTGCAGGCCCTGGTGTAGGAACGAGCTGCAGGGAAGCAAGTCTGCCCAGCGCCTGCTGGCCCCTCAGCGAGGTCCGGCAGAGTAAGAGCGTGAGGGTTTCTCCGGTCAGGCTCCTCGGTGTCGCTTCGTCACAAAGCCACCGCTTCGAGCAGCCCGAGGCGGCATCGAGCGAACGCGCCACCATTCACTTCACATCGCCCGGCATCGGGCATCTAAATTAGTTTCCGACAGCCACGGGCCTTAAGTTTCCCAGGGGCGGGCCGTCCTCACGCCGACCCCCAGGCGGTGACGGCGCAGAGCGCGGGCTCGGGC